TACTCATTTGTCTCCCATTTGTCTCCCACTTGTCTCCCGCTGTTTGGGGTCGAGGCTGGTATAATTATCATGTGGGGTCTATGGTGTTGGACTGTCTCGGATGAAGGGTATAAAGCAGATGAGAATGTTCTGGCGTTGCGCATGCTCACGTTGTGCGTTGGGATGACGAAGCGGAGGACAGCAAGAGGGTTCAGAGAATAAGGGGACCCGAACGCGGACTCCAAAGCGCACGCAACTCATCAAGAAGGTTCCCTGCCTGTCAGAAACCTTCCTAGTACAACATACTCGGGAATGCTAGTTCCCCATGATAGTTTATGTACCAGGACGGGGAATATCAACAAATAGAACGTTAGCAGTAGCGTTCGCACAAGCAACAGTGCTAGTAGTGGCCTTCGAGTTGCTCGGGACTTGCAACTGTTGCTGCGCGATGGAGAAGGCTTTTTGTTTGTCCTTTGCCCAACCCCGCTTGGTATTCCTTCTGTCTGTGCAAGAAACAATAGCAACAGCAAATCCAGAGCCCCTTCTATAACCCTTTCAAGCTCGTTGAAGCACACCTTTAACACCTGCATACGCCGTCCAAAACCCGTATGTATAAGACCCTTGGAAAATCCTGTGACAGCCTTTCAAACTCGTTAAACAAAGCATAACAAAGCCCGTAGCTCAAGGCCAATCTCGGAGTCGCCTCGCGTCGAGACGCCGGACCAGTCAGCTGCACCCCACTTCCTATTCAGCGCAATTTGGGAGGGGGCTGGGTTGTGCTACAGGCATCTATTGTTTTCTGAATTCATCAAGTTCTAGGTTGAATAAGGTCTTATGAGGGCTCATGAAGGCTGCGTTGCGGCTCTTGTGCTGTCTGTGCGGGCTTGATTGTTCACATTGGAGCAGTTTCCGGACCTTACACAGTCTTAGTTTGGATTCACAAAGGTTTTAAACCCGAAACAGATACTAGAACCCCTATCTTTCCTATGCCAGGCTGGGGGCAGGGCTGAGGCCCTAAACCCTAAACCCCATACGAGGTCTGGACCTGCAGATTGATCTGGAACCTAACTGGAAGCAGATCTTCGAGTTGGGGGAATATCTTGGGATGAGACATGGGGCTTAAATGGTTAGAGCAGGGTTTTCGGGTTCAGTATACAATATCTTTACAAGGGATCCAATCCAAGAGAGACTTTTGCCAAGGTCAACACGTTGCAATCGAAACCGAAAGCTTCAAACCCCGAACCCTATTCCCAAGCCTAAATCCCTCAATCCCTAAACCTAGACGCTACTGTAGAAGTGGAGCTCCTGGTCTAACCTCTACAGCTTCGGCCGTGTAAGCCTCAGATCGGAAGGCCACACATACTGTTGATGAGGGGAATCTTGCAAGCACCACAGCAAGGGATATAACTCAAATAGTTTAGGATCCTTACATATTGGGGTGATGCAGGGTTTGTCCGACAACAGTAGGCTTCAGCAGAGGCACGCGCAGTCTGCTCCAGAGCAATGCGAGTCCGTGACCCAGTGAAGGGATCGGCTTTGGAATGTTATAGAAGAGGGTCACAAGTTTAGGTTAAATAGCTTTTGAATGCAGAGGTTGATGATTCTTGCCGCTTGTATTATTGACGAACGTCTTGCCAGTTCTCTCTGGATTCGTATTGGACGTGTTCTCGGGGCAGTTGCGATGATGTGTCTACAGTGGGAACTTTGGGGCCACTGATTTCTGTCCGGCTTCGTCCTTGTCCTGTGGCTGGCGATTGTAAAACTCCAGTATAACTGGACTCCTTGAGGCAAAGGGATCTTTATTCGGGTTTTGTGCGTCAAATTTAGGACTTCGCCCGTGAGGCTGGCAAACTCCAGAGCCCCACATCTCACTCCCTCCGCCGGGCGTCTTTCTGCACTTGCTTTGGCTGAAAACTCTAAAGCCCTGACACTTCAGCTGATCAGGCAATCGAGCTTTCGTTGTGCTGTGTAAAGGCATGCCTCAACCGGGTCATGCACTACTTGTTGAAACGGTGGAGCCGTTGGTTTAAGGCTTAAGTTGCCATAAACCTGGAAGCAATACCTGTGGCACTTTGAGCGATGCAAGGGGTCCTAGCAAAGCACCGTCCCGGGGCTCAGGTTAGGGCAAGATTGGGGCCTTTCTTGCGAAGTGCCGGAAAGGCTCCGAAACGCAGTTTCCACGTCATCATGATCTTCCGGCACCCTAAACCACCAACTCCAAACCGGACAGAGCCAGTGCTTCTGCTTCCTTCTGCTTGGGTCAGGTCTTCTGCGCCCTTGCAAGTGGCAAAGCAAGCGAGGCCCAGAAACCTCGCATTTGCAACCGTGAATGCCGCTTAGGTTTCAGTATGTCTCGTGTTGTAGGATCTAGCTCTGAACCTCGATCTTGTGCCAATGGTTTAGAGTCTAGGCGTACTGAACAAGTGGCAGCCCGATCTCACCCTAAGCGGCCCCTCCATATCCATGAATCCACGAACTAGCGTGACGCCCAAAACAGAGATGATTGAAATATCCAATCGCAGACTAGATTGGACGGTCCTGACGGCTGTCGAGTGCCTGGGGCATTGTCAGTGCCTGGATTGAGGCCAAAGCATCTACAGCCTGACTTATTGCTCCATTTACAACTACTGTACCATGATCCTCCAAGTGCCGGAAGCCCTCAAGGATTCTAGGAGGGTCTTCCAGACCACCGATGAAGTTCGACGGCAGACACAACCTCGGCAACAGCGACATCTGAAGGAGAGACGTGCCTTGCTGTGTTTAGGGTTTAGGTTGGGGTTTCGGGGATTCAGCGTTTAGGGCTCAGGGTTTATTCATCATAGCAGGCAAAAATTTGGTTTCATGTGTCTTGGTGGAGTTTTATTGTCAAAGGGTTTTGGGTTTTGGGCCTGGGATTTAGGAAATAGCGGCATGAAGGGAAGTGCACTTTAGGTCAAGCCGATGAAGGGGTTTCGGTCAGCAACTCTGAGTTCTCGCTGAGGAACTTGGGTTGAGTTACTACGACGAGATCGCACTTCATTCTTTCAGATACCCGGGGCTCGGGCCTTGCTATCTAAACTCCGAAAGTATTTTTTTGTGCGAAAGCAGCGGACCTTGATTTGCCTTGATGTCCGTTGGCTCGTTAGCGAGACGAATGGCTAATGGTTATCCATAGGAAGGACCAGGGTAGGAAATCCCAAGCCAATCTCCCTTTGAAAACCGCTTACGGCTTCCAATCATAAACCCCAAGGCCCTATAAGTCCCAAACCCGAAAACCCGACACCTTCGCTTCTTCCTGCATTTGGCTTGAAGCAGCACCAAGCTCCTAGTGGAGCAAAGGGTCTCCGTAAGGAACCACGGATAGAGTCAGGCAGCAGTTCGGTTTTATACGTTTTTATTTCGACCTAGGGTGTTAAAGGGCTCAGGGTTTAGGGTTGATTAAGACCCAGGCTTTCAGCCTTGTGAGTTCTTGTTTCACTGAGGAAGTTGAGGGAGTAAGCAGCAGTGCTCCTGCCTTGGACATGACTCTTCAAGCATGTCGGCGCAAGCGCCTGCTCGCATACGCTGCATGGATCTATTCGATGGAAAGGGCCTTCTGCTTTCTTGGAGGTTACCTACTCGCTCCTCCACCTGTTGTGCCAGACGTGCCGAAGTCTTCTCCAAACGCTCTGCTAGCTGGAGATGTTGATGTACCACGTATTGTTCTTGCAGCTTTCGAATACTCCGTGGCTCCCTACCGCAACAAGCTGCAGCGTGTCGTCGAAGAGCTTGGGGTGCGAAAAGACAAGGAGGTAGACGAGCAAATGAAGTCCGCGTTCTCCCGCATAAATAGACAGGTGGGCGATGTTATAGCTCAATGGGACCGGTTCATAGAACAGTGTAAAACCTATGCCATCAAGGCAGTCGATTCTCCGGAGGGCAGAACATTCGTAATGGAATCATGGCACGTGAGCCTCGGTTCTTGTTAAGGTACTTTCTTAATTGAAGTTACCATGGTGTATTTTTCTCTTGTAATTAACTTTGTAAGTTGATTTCACCTGCAACAACCTAGGAGCCATCTGCACAGTTTCGAAGATGAGGTGGATCAGTTGTATGAGGATTGGAAGAACGACTCTCTGGCCGAGTGGCTACGCAAGATTGACAGCATCTGAAGACTTGCAACAGCAGGGAATCTCCTCACACAGACGGCAGCACCCACGACTCGCGCTGCGACAGGAACACATTCATGCTACGTTTGCCAAGCCGCGGACGTTTGCATTTGAGCCGTTGCAATTGCATAGCCAGGGACACTTGTATAGACTTCAGCGTTTTAAGTGGGTCTCTCCCGCAGTTTGTGCCACGGCTTGACCCTAACCTGAAGCATGAGCCCACACCCTGAAGCCTTGAAGTTTAAAAGCTCGGTCCTAAATCACCGTCCTTGCGCCTGGAAGTTTAAATCCCACAGCCGCCTAAAGCCTAAAGCGTACATCCTACATCCTGAAGGTTAGAGCTCCGCTTAAAGGTTAAAGAAGGGGAAGCAGAACACCAACTATAAGGCCACAGTGTAGATCATATGAGATGCTTACCAGCACACCTGTCCCTCGTCCTGTGCCAGATGTGCGACATGCGGAAAACTCGAAAGCTGTGGGGCTTCAGAGTTCCAGGGAAGGGATTTGAGGGCCTAGTAGTAGGCTTCAGTTTTCAGGCTTGGGGATTGAGCTTGGTGTCTCGATCTTGGGTTTTGCTGCCTCAAGGCGTGCACGCCCTCTCGCCTCTCTTCTTGGTTCAAAGTTTCTGGATTTGGGAAGTGCGGGTTGGCATTTGTGGTTTGGCGATTTGGGGTTTTAGGTTTCAGTGTTTGGGGTTGATGGTCTCCCGCCATCAGGAGATGCAGAACTACCTGGCTCACATCGTGGTCTTGAACGTATCCATGGGGTCTACCAGTAGCAGCCCGAGCGAAGACGACTGATTCACCTGGAACTGAAACCGAACTAGACTCACCGCAGCAAAGTGATTTCAAGAAGATGACCCAAGCCGTACTACCCCGGACGCCCCTCAATCGGCAAGGCAACTTCGCTTTCTCGATGGGAACAAAGCAGCCTTGTTGGTTTCGAGCAGACGGGGGCCAACTCTACACGGACTGCGCCAATGAAAGAAGCAACAAACAAAGCGACTGCTGCAGCTTCTGGCACCACACAGGCACAGTGGAGCCAGAGCCAGGGAAGGCAGCGGCGATGGGAAGGAGCAAAAGCCAGAGCAGCAAACTGGCTGTAAGTGCAAAGAGCAACGAATCGCCGCTCAAGCAGGCATCAATTCAGCAACAGCACTACACTGTGCAAAGCAGTTTTTGCGTCGTTGACGATAAAGGTCTGTACAGATGAGAATTACGGTAGCTGCTTAGTAGAGCCCATAGCAGCGGCATGTGTGACAGGGGAACCTCCAACACAAGCATGGAGGTTGAAACGCTGAATGCCAAGCCCAAAACCCCAATCCTGAGATGAACACAAGTCCCCTGAACATCCCCACTCCAGAAGCCCAAAACTCAGGCCCCAAACCCCAGAACACAACCGCCGCCCAAAAACCCTCCACCTTAAGCAGGTGCATGAGTGGGACAGTGACGACGAGACCGTTGAAGATACTGGAGGGTGTCTATCAGCCCGAGGCCCTCGCCTGTATGTGCTTGTTAAAGACCTGTAATCATAAGTTGTGTACTGTGCCTTTGAGGTGTCTTCTAGGACTTTTCTGAACTGTTTGGTTTGAACCAGGTTTTAGAATCAGTAGGATTTGTGTGAAAGAACTTGATAATGGTTTTGGAATTGCTTTTTGATGGTTTGTTGTGCATCTTTATGGGACTGTAGTTTTAAAATGAGTTCTCCTTACTCTCGCCAAGTAGTGCCCTTGCTTTTCCTTACGATTTGGGGGCTTCTTCCTCGTTCATGCGAAACGGGATTACGTAGGGTTTCAGGTTTCAGGCCTCTGCATTTTGGGGTGATGTGGGGTTCCGGATTAATAATCAAGGTTCAGGGACTTAGGGTTTGCTTGCAGCTTCGGAGCTTCATGTTTACTTAGAGGTTAGCCCCGCATTGTACTGACAGGAGCTCGGACACAAGTGCCCGATCCAGAAGAGATGGAGAATGCTGCGCCGCTGGGCCGCACCTGAAGGTTCATGGGCCATTTATTAAATGGCATGTGTGTAACCGCGAACACCCAACATCCCCTAACCAGAGAACCTGGCAGCACTCAGGAATGGTCCTGCAATCACGATCAAAAGTTCTGTTGAATCCACTACTTTCCTGAATCCTGAACTTAAGGGGTATTGGGCTCACTTTGGGCAGGCCTTTGCACAACATGCACAGTTTTCTGGCGTTTGCAGGACGATATCGTGATTCCATATTGCGTCTCTCCCTAAGCCCTTAAAATTCGACGAGCTTCGATCGCATGAGGCCTCAATCGCAAACCCTGCTGCTCCAATCCCGGAAAATCTTGAACCCAGAACCAAACACCACGATGCCCTCGTTCCCCAAGCCTTACCTGGATGCACCTTAGGTTGTCTCAATATCGGAAGGGAGCGAAGGCTGTATAAATCCCTGAAGAGGCATTGTTCCATAAGGTTCAAGCATACCTACTCCCTAAAAGCCCGTAGAACGCCTCTGACCCTATTTTGAAACATGAATCCCTTCACCCTCAAGCCACTTTCTTTTCCGCTTGCACCCTCTATAGAACCCGGTAAGATCCAGCCTTCAAAGACCCCAGGCGCTCCATGGCGGCCGCTTGGCCTCTGGCCTGGGCAGCGGTTGCCTCCAGCTGGGCCTCTTCGAGGACGGGCCGACAGCTCCAAAGCTCCCAATAATCCGATAATCCGATACAAGTACTACGCAAACATCTATAACTTTTTTGGCGGGTGTCCCGGGTCTATTGGCTTTTTGCAGAGAGGGTCATGAGATATTTTAACTGTTTGTTCTCAAACAGTGTTCTGTATATATATATATATAGAGCACCAGTCTTATGTTATAGGAGCAATTAGCAAGGATCTTTTCAATTTTCCTGATCACGTTCGAGGAATAATCGCGTTCTTCGCACACTCCCTCTGCAGCTTCGTCTTTTGTGGCCACCGAAGTCAATGTAAAAATTCAAGGCGTTGGCGCTCGTGAACTTGATGCATGAATCCTTCTCCGGCCACAGTCCCATTTTTGAATTCTCACCATTCGAAGTCCGTGAAGTTCTCAAGGGCACACTATTCACCACCTTTGAGCTCCGTGGTGTGCTTCCTACGGGGTCTTGGAAGTCCGCGAGCGAAAATCGACATGTCGTAACCCTCAACTCCAACAGCCCCACAACCCTGAACTTCGCTTTAACTCCGTCACGGGCTCACCCGGACCCGGAGCAATCCTCTCTGCAAGGTTTTTAGACCTCGTCGAGACGATGTCGCCGGCAGGCCGGGACCAACCAAGTTTAGACGGATGCGATGCCTTTGTGAAGCTTTTCGGGTTCTTGCCAGCGTTTACAATTATAGAGCTGTCGTGGTTTCATTCGAAATCTGACAAAGGTGGCTTTGCTGCAGCATTTGGGTTTCCGAGTGAAAGCCCTGCAGTTGGAGCTTTCGGATGTTTGAGAATTCGCTTTCAAAAACTTCGGAAGTTGGAGTTCCGGGCTCGTGGGCTTAGGCTTTCAGCTACTCCGGCTCCTGTACAACTTCAGACGTTGGGGTTATCGGGTTTCCATGCTCTTGGTTTTTGGCAGTCTTCTTTAAATGCAGCTCCCCAAGTAGGAATGTCATAGTACTTGTTTGGCCCTCTTTATTTTGGGGGTTCCCTGTTCAAGAAAGAAGAATACAGGCTAGCAAACAGCAATCCTTTTGGGGCTACTGGAGAGACCGTCTTGTCTAGGACGACCTGGCCAGCGCTAAATGCATACTAGAGGATTCAATCATCCCATTCGAGACAGCAGTTGCTTGACGAGAACCATCTGTCGGAAAAGAAGTCATGCCACGTCAGCATCTCCTAGTTTTGAAATTCCATGGTGCTCCAAGAGTTCTGTGAACAAGTAGGACTGCAGTAGCACAATCCTTTTCCTACTTTTCTACGGGGAGCATGGAACTATGAAGCCTGTTTCGAGATGGGATCTCGCCCGTCCGAACTGTGCACCAGGAAAGAAGAGGCTGAATCAGCACCTGCAGTCATTGGGCAGCACCTACTGCCGGGTATATCTGCTTCCTTCAGTAAGTTTGGGCCAGTTGAGGGTATCCTACGCCCTGTGGCCTCTTCTAGACTGGGTCAACACTGCGGGGACCCTTCGGAAGCTCCCTTCTCTACGAAGCTATGACGACTTTCTTTGGCCCTGTAAAGCCTCCGTAGATCCTAAAGACTGAACCCCAAAAACCCCCAACCCTCATTCCAAAATCCTACACCATCTATACCCCGAAACACTCAGCCCTTACTCCTTCCCCTAGACGGGATCGCACCGGGCCTCCTGCCGAAGGGACAGGTGTTTGTCAAGAGCACAATCACAATCATCCCAGTACGTTTATGCTACGAAGGATGATGCCCATAGTCAGCTTAGCAGTCATTTAGATATTCAAATTGAGGAAAATTCATAAGAGAATAGTCAGCAGAGGTCAGCAGGCCGGACACTCCACGCCTCTTAGCCCTACATTCTTGAAAGCCTCGAAGCTCCTTGGATTGAAACCTCAGCCCATGCAGAACGAGAGTAGCCGCCAAGGTCAGACTACGTCTTTCAGGACGAGGACTGCCAGACATTAGCTGAGAGCTGATGGACGACAGGATGTAGCTATGTACGTATGGAAGGGTTCTTCGCACAGGGTTTAAACATGGCTTTGCAGGGTTTTTTGACAAAGTGTTATAGAGCTTCCCAGCTTTCCAGGCTTCTGCACAGGCTTGTAAGTTGTGTTTTAGGGTTTTGGGTTGAAGGTTTTAGGCTTAAGAGCTTCCGGCGTGTCGAGGTAGCATTGGGAATTAAGGCACTATTTTGGGTCTCGAGAAATGCAGGATCGAACCTACACCTTAGCTGCAAACCCGAGGACCAAATCCCCACACCCCAAATACCCGCCAGTCTGAACCCAAAGTCCTCAATATCCGAAACCAGCTCCTAATGCAAACCCACGTCCTAAAGACACTAAACCCTGGAGCCTTCAGAGAAGAGACCTAATCGCCGTCTACGGGGAAACAATCTTGCGCACTGCATCAAAACATGTTGGGGTGTGGGCATGTTGTGGCCCTCCCATCCGCTCCTGATGTAAACCTTTCGTTAGTTTGTTGGGTTCTAAAGGGCCCTAGGGGGTTTGAAAGGGTTTTGTGGGGTCTTTTCGGGTAGTTACATGTGTTTCGGGTCGTAGGGGGGTAGGTTCTACGGGTTTGGGATTAGGGCTTAGGGTTGTTTAGGGTTTGGGTTTGGTGCATTAGGGTCGTATTTCTTACTGGGTGAAGCCTCGCAGAAGTCAAAACACCCTCGTGCAGGAGCAAGCTGCGAAGGGGAAGGCATTGGAGGCATCCCTGGCGCGGCCGCAGGACGCTCAAACGCGGTCCTAAGCCCCAACCCCTGCCTTGAGTCGGAAGCCATGCGTTGGAACCCGTGCCCTCAAACCGTAACAGCCCAGAACCTTCGAGCCTCGAACCCTCAGACCCTACAGCCCCCAAGCCGTAAACTCTCAAGCCCTCGACATACCTGTGCAACTCCATAAAGTACTTGGAAACCGAGTGAGATCATACCGAATATAGATGTATGGTGCCTCCAAAGTACTGATTACAGCATCTTATATCATATCATATCATATCATATCATATCATATCATATCATATATATATATATATATATATATGTGTGTGTGTGCATATGTATGTACTTGCTTATTTATATTTGCAGTTAGTCATTGAAGCGTAAATCCTCATCTAAACTCACATTGAGTTATTTAGACTTCGTTGTTTATTTATTTGTTTCTTGACTGACTCCATTTCACAGACTAAAACCCCTCGCACCACTAACCCCCTCCCCCGCAAAGAAGCAAGAAACAGCCGAACTTGCGATGAAGGGCTCGGTGAGAGCGGCCGAAAGCCAAGCCCAGCGGTGCCGGGAGCTCCTGCCAAGACCAAGGCGCAAGAGCGTAGGGTTCTTTTGCAGTGTAGAGGTGAGGGTTTATGAGTTTAGGGTTGGGGCCTTGATCTTATAAGGGTTGCAAAGGGTGATTTTACACGAGCCTTCTCGAGTGGTTTTGATTTTTGTTTTGAGTGCGTGGCCTGTAGCTTGCTTCAAAGGCTTGGGATTTAGGGTTTGGGTTTGGGGATTTAATGGGTTTGGGGCGCAGGGTCTAGGTGTTCCGGGCTTCGGGTATCGGGTTTGGGGATGCTCACGACACAGGGCTGAAGGTCTTGGGCATGTAATTTTATACTGCTTCCTTCAGGGATAGGTTGGCTTCACATCCCCCCATACAACTTGTATACACCTAGCATGGAAGCCCTGTAGATCCTCACGGACCAGACCTGCATGGTTCCTGGCTGTGAATCTCGCTCCCAAACCTACACCCTAAACATGGACTGTTTGGGGTGAAAGTTTCTCAGCCCGAACCCTAAATCCCGAACTTCCTACACCAAGGCTTAGGATTGGCGGTTTTGGCAGGGCTCCGTCTACAGGGTTTTGAAGGGTGTGTATAGGCTTTAGGCTTAGATTCCGGGTTTGGGTATGAACGCTTAGGTTGTTTCCCTCGGGGCTGGATGTGGAATCTGATTACTCCTCCGCCTCTGCAGTGGTCGGAGTCGATGCATTTTAGTTTTACACGCTTTCGTGCGAAAAGAATTATCCAAGAACAGTTCTAAGGGTTTCGCAAGCCCTTACGAAATACCTAGAAGTTGTTCAGGTATAGGGGGGCGCATCAGCAACTTAGTTCTGCAGGATATAGCGCATGGACCCTCTTCAGAGTCTCAACCTGTCTTACTCATCATGCCCAGGCACGATTCCCTTCAAGCCGCATGGTGTAGGATGTAAATAGGCTTCCACAGGAATGCAAGCATGTTGAAGCCTAGAGACACCCAGCACAGTATCGTAGTTTGACATAGGCAAGGACGCCACAACCTTCGGAGAAACTCTGAATCCAGGCTGATGAACAGTGAGACCACGCATTGTACCCGTGTCCACCTGTAGAAGCAACTCATACAGGCATGACAGACACGTGCTTGAGCTAAGCCTGCAACATCAATGCAACCCCTAAACCCTTCGAGCTTACCCTAAGCCCTAAGCCCTACTACACCCGCAGGTCTAGTTCGAGGCTATTGGGTTAGTGGTCCCTTCAAGGTCTGGGTTCAGGTGCTTCTTGGGGCTTTTACAGTGTCCATCCTGAACCTGAACCCACCAGGTCGTAAGCCTACAGACCAAAATCTGTTTCAAGGCGATTGCAGCCACCCGGCCAGCCCCTCAGAGCCAACGCCCTGAGGATCCTTACTAGGCTTTCGAGCTTAGGGTGTTGGACCTCAGGGTTTGCGCATCCGTTTAGAGGGGTAGGGACATGGGATGGGTTCTGAAACCTCAATGAACACTGATGAGACTGGGTTGTAGAGCGTTAAAACTGTTGCCATTGTAGGTATGTCAGCGGGGAGTAATATCACTCAATTGTTCAGGCCCCTTGGTTGCCGGTTTAGGATTTGACAGTTATGCGCCTTTTTTGTTCGTATGTTCTGAAGTGTGAAGCCTTCGTTGTGATTGTGTAGACTTGTTGATGAGGCTTTCGCGGCTTGCTATTTGGCTTGAAGTAGATTCACATGGTCTTCTCGTGGTTCACGGTTGGGTTATCCGCCAATACCTCGGGCCCCCTGCATCAATGGTCGGAGTCGTCTAGATGTTGGGATGAGGTGAACTAGCAATCAAATACACAGCATAGAATACAGCGACGCTGAGCTGCAACCCCGCGTATTGTCACAATGTCACCGGGACGGTTTCTTAGCTCCCCCAACAGTAGATATTCCAGCGGGCTACTCGGAGTTTAGGGTCCAGGTTTAGAATACATGCAGGGCTTAGAGATTTGGGGTTCAGGGCTCCAAGTTCAGGAAGGTCCGAAAGGATAGCCACGCCATCCAACTGATTCTCCCACGGTCCAGGATACTGCAGGTGCTGCAGATGGCTTCACAGCCGTATGGTTTCTCATAGTGTTTAAGCCTCAAGCCAGGTGCCACTAAAAGTTTGAGGAGTTCCTCGCAGAAATAAACCGAGTCCTTAAGCTGAGCTCCAAGACCAACGATGGAACCTTGATGGTAGAACCTCTGGCCGGCGAGCAAGCCTTCCAGCAACAAACCGGTCAATGACACAAATTGGTAAAAGTCCCTGCTGCCGAGATCTGCAGGAACCCTAGACCCTTCACCCCTAATATGCTAAACCCAACATCCTATGACTATATCCCTAGAGGCCAGAAGAGACTTTCAGACCGGCAAAGCCCTACAGCGAAACCTTCTACATCACTCACACTCCACGAGCCCTAAGTGCTTGTGCCAGGCGAGCCGGCTGCAATGGTCAATCAACTAGCAAGCCCTAGTTCGAGCAGAACGAACCTTGGCACGGTCAGGAGGGTTTGTTTATCTGGGGTTGTTATAAGGGTTTCTCAATTTGTTTGAGGGGTTGCAGAGAAGTTCTCCTGTAGTCTAGGGCTTCTTGTAAGATGTTACTAGCCTAAAACTGACGCCACTGAGTTCTTAAAGTCTTGAAGTATTAGAGAAGTAAAGATACCAATAATTCGAGGTATCTGTGAGGTGTGAAGTTACTTTTCGAAGAGGCTCGGTTGAGTAGTGCTGATCAACCAGTTGACGAAGAACCTTCGCAGTATGTTCCACTGTGCCATGCCTCCATGACGCTCCGCTCCATGTGCTTGTTCTGTTCTCTGTCGTTCCTTGCAACTGTTGCCGACTATAAACATCTATTCATTCTGACCGCCATGCTTAGCAGCCCTAGTCCAAACACGAGGAGTTCCCCCAGCTGCCGACCGCCTCCGGCAGTCTCCCCTGGCGCTGCCAAAGCCATGCACGGAGCCCCGGAAGATTCCGGTTGCTGTTCGTATTCAGGCCTGGTCGGGTACCGGATCTCAAGTTGATGAAGCCGTCCATATTTTGAGTGCAACTTGAGCGGTCCCTTGAGCCGTAACAGTTTCTTTGCCCTCATCCGCTGCCGGCGCTTGGGATTGCGGTCGACTTCGAAGATTGCCGGCTCAGGTTCGACGTTGCCGAGGAGAACATCGCCTATGCGCTTGAGGCTCGGCACCGTTCGAACCCCGAGATCTCCTGGGGCCTGGTGTAAGTCAGAAATGCCCCCTCAACAAATCTGAACTAAAGACCATGGGTGTAGGATGAAGCACCCTAAACCATTGGGTTTACGGATTTAGGGCTACAGGATCCATGGTTCGCGAGTTTGGTGTTCGTTGCGAATTCCCGGCGCCCATCTGCCTGGAGGACGCTTTGTCTACAGCGGCCGAGCACACATCCAGGCTCTTCGACTATCTTCAAAAAATATCAGGTTAGAAATGGACCGTCCAACTAGAGTATTTAGAGAGGGTTCTTGAGTTGTCGTTCCAATTTTAGGCGGGGTTTAGCTCTTCGGCTCTCGTTCTATGCGCCTTTGTGCAGGGGTGTTGTAAAACAACCCGCAAGGTTTCTAAAGGGGTTTCTTGAAGCACATGGAGCTCACTCTGCAGAGTCCTGCAAAATGTTGCCGTCAACCTTCAGAGGGGTCGTTTACGAGTTAGGTCTTCCTGAGGGTATGTATTTCTGTGGTGGCTCATGGTTCTGCATCATGAACACGAGTCGGGCCAGAGCCCTAGACAGGGACCATAGCTGCCAGAGCTTGCTGTCGCCTCTCAGCCGTCTCACAGCTCCTCCAGCACAATGACAGGTTCCATTGTCTTCACTTTGGACTCTGACCGGGGTTTCCACTGAGCGCCGGTTTCTACGTTGAGGGAGGTTGTGAAGTCTTCTGTGTTAGCGGCGACGAATCACACGCCCAATAAGGGAGACACGCTTGGGTGGCAGAGGAGCTAGATTCCCCGATTTCGGCCGGGCTTAGCCATGGATCCGCCTTCCCGCCATCATATGAAGCCCCATTGTCCCCAACTGTAAACTACAAACCATTGATGTCGTGAGCCCTCCCTCGCTCCAGCGCGTTCAGGCCGTCCTCTCCGGCCGCGACGATGTTAGCCGGTATTCAGGCGCCGAACCGAGTTGTGCGAACCCTTCGGCCCGGAACAAGAACAAAACCTGGACTCTCTAGACGGAGGTCTCGTTAATTGCGGGTCCCCCAATTAGGAAGCTTCGATATACTGGTCCCACTCTTTCGGGGGCTTCGCTCTTGCTGAAACTCCGCGATCGGCTCATAGGAGCAACCCAAGTAGATTGTTAGTTTCAGGAGACGCTAACTTTTTTAAGGCACCGTTCGCGTCGAAGTGAGAAACTGACTCCGTGCAGAAACTAGATCTCTGGTAAAGAAAACAGAAACTGACTCTGTCTCTGTTGAGACGTTAGTTTCGCCGATCGGAGTTTGTTTCGGCTGGGAGAGTTTATTCGTTTCCTCCGCCACACTCGAAGTTTGCTGCAACCGTCGGTTCTTGAGCGACAGAGCACAATTCTCCTGGCCAGAGTTCGTTTCGATGACTAAGAACTCCACATTGTCAGAGTTTGTGCTGGCCAGAAGACAAACGTTTGCTGCAGGCTTTTGTTCGGTGCCTTTGAAGATGTTGCTGGAAACGCCAGTTTGTCGCTCAGAACCAACTCCCGCGGCCAGAGTTTGTTTGTCGGCGCCAAAACAGGCTTTCTCAGCCATACAGTAGTTTGCTTCTTCCCTGACAGAACTTCCCCGAAGCTTAGTTGTTTCCTCCGGCCCTTTTCCTGCGCCTGCAGGCGACTTGTACTCTGTCGTACGACAAGCAAACTTGATATCCAAAACCAAGTAGCTTGCCTCGGCCCTTATTCCCAATCGAACCCTGAAGTGGTGTCACTTGCGATGCCATTTTTGACATCTACACCCTTGACCCCATACTACACCCCGCGCTCGAAACAGTCTCAAAGCCCGTAGAACTCTCAAGGGCTTTGTTTTGAACTTGTTTTTTAACCTTGAGTCATGCTGCAGTCGGGTGTACTGGATGTGTAATACAGCAAGTTCTCCCGACCAAAAACATTTAAACAACCCGAGAAGCCTTATTATTAATGAGTCGGAAATCCAGCAAAAACCTACATAGAAACAGGCATGTTCAGGCACGTCCGTCGGAACCTTGGCAGTGACAGCAACCTTCTTGTCTGCAAGCACATGTAAGCAGAGGCTCCTGGAAGTGGGGGCCAAAAGAAAGCCAAAGTGTTTGCGCAGGCGCAACTGAGTAGCCTGGAGCTTCGCAACTCCAACGTCTTGGTCAGAGACACTTCAGCCACGAACATGAAAGCCATGAAAGCCAAGCTTGGTATTGTCCTGAGCCAGTTCTGTGCAGGATCCGGAGCTGCCAACATGGGCGGAATCCCGCAGTTTCTCGGCTGCTTTCGGGCGGGGCTGAACCCTACTCATGACTCATGCCATATACCTCAAGGCTAAACCTACACTGCGAGACCCAGGGGCCATCGCAAACATGGGGATAATCGCGCCATGACAAGCCGGGTGCAGGAGTCTAATGACATTATGGCTGTCTCTTAGTATGTTGATTTTATTCGTGATCCAGGATTTTCAAAACATAGGGGAACTCTATATGAGATGGAGCCCAAACCATAGGACTCATGAATAAACGACTCTAAAGCAGGCGAGGCTTGACAGGGGTTTAACAAGTTTGCTCCAGGCACGCTGTGTTTGATGCTTCCGATTCCTGGGTGGCACATCTGCACTACCATTACGGAAACGAAACCCTGGAAATGGAGCAAACTCACTGTTGCCACTCGTTCTCGGAGCTTTCCCCCGATGTGCGCAATCGATGCGATCAGGCTCATCTGCTCTCTGGTTGTCCACTCCAGAACTTCTCGCACTCCTCGACACCCCAAGCTGGTGCAAGGCTTGCCTTTCGCTTCGCCGGACCTGCCGGCACCACAGTGAACAGGCTTAGGGACTGGGGGATTTCGCCAGATACTTCTGCGGCCCGTGGTTGTGTTTACGGCTTTAGGAGTTAGGTACGGGGCTCAGAGTTTGAAGCTCATGTTACTTGAACTGAGGGTTCTGGCACCGCGGCACCTATGCAAGGTCCTTGGATCAAGGATCCGGCAATTTAGGATGTATCTTCAGATCAGTGTCCGACCCGACCTAACTCTACACCCTGAAGCTCTTGCAATGCGGTTGCTACGTGGGGACCCCGAAAAGCACTTCAAGATATCACCAGTTGTGAGCCATTGAAATACCAGTATAATTAAGCAAGTTTCATTTCTACTTGCTTGTCGCGGCTCGCCTTGTGCACCGAAGCTACTTCAAGGTCGGCGGCGACATCCCGCGAAAATTCGCCGCTGCGAACACACGAGGAGCCCTGCCGAGTAGGAGCCGGGGGACCTGCAACGTTCCAAGAGAGCGAAATACTCCTTGGCTAAAGAATCTATACTACTCGAACAAAAAGCCGTATACGGTCTAAGTATGTGTTCCTTGAAATAAGCGGTATTGGACTGCTGGCCCAAGATGCCGTTTGTGAGGTCGCGCCTGGGATGTATGAAAATAGTAGAGTTTGTTGAGCCACTGCCAAGCAGGCGAGCAGCAGGAAGCCTGGTCAGCGGCCAGGCGCTAGATGGGTCCATAGGATGTTTATGGGGTGTCGCAGAGGTGTTTTGCAGGTTGTTATGCGGTGTTTAATAGGTTTCGAGCACGATTATCTAGGGTTGTGATAGGATTGGGTTCATGTTAAGTTACAATAGCGAGCAGAGCTTGTGCATGAGCACAAGTCAGGCCCTGGCACTCTTCAAGCTGTTCCGGTTCACGGGCCATAAACCCTACAATCCAACGAAGTGTGTAATGTAGATAAGCCTTTGTTAGCCGTGTCTTTGGATGCTGCGGTGCAATCCCCAGCTGCCGGAGTTGTATGTTTCCACAGGTTTGACCTAAGAGCCGGTGCAGCTTGCCTGAGCGGCACTCCGACATTCGGCAGAAGAAGCCCAACGATTTGTAGATACATTGCAGAAGCTATCCGCCATTTTTGACGTAGCCCTGATTATTGATTAGCGCCGCCCTTCCGTTCATAGGGGCGTGGTTGTTGGGAAATCTCGGTAGGGTCCTTAAAGAGAAGGGGTACTAACCAAGGGTCCACATCATTGGCGCCATGAATAACATACTGTAACGGTTACGATGTTGCTTCCGCTCAGGGTATTTGTTTAAACGTAAGCTGCTTGGAGCTTACATCTTGAATCCGTATCTCTCCGGGGCTGTCAAAAGGTCGCTTCATCTAGTTTCAATGTCACGGGTCCTTTGTTTTCCGAAAAACCGATAAAGCGCTGTACCTCGAGCTTCTCAGATCGTTCTGTTTGTGTCAGGTCGTGTGCTGCTTGCGAAGAAGGCTGGGCGCAACGGCAAGGCCCTGTAGGGTTGAAAGGGAATGTAACGTAATACAAAGGGTGGGTAGCGCTAAAGGACTCAGCGCAAGGGGGGCTTCGACTTTTTGCCTTGCACCCTTGCAGTGTGAAAGATGGCATGTTAACTTCCGCAAGGTAAACTGTACAACGTGGTTAGGAGCTCTGAAATGCTTGTTGAAGAGCTTTGCCTATCGGAATTACGGCTTAGGGATCCAGGTTCAAGGTTTGGTTGCACGCAACAACACAGATAATGAGACATGCTACCAAATGGATAAGTAAATATGAAAGCGGGAATGCTTGTCTGGGGATATAGATCTATCTTTGTACATGAGGGGTCTATGTACGTATACGTGTACATACGTACGCGAATATATAACTTCATATACACATTTTGACATGAAATAGGTACGTGCGCACAGACATACTAGATAAACCGGCTGCGCGCTAGAAACTTTAGTTCCATCGCAAGGTGCACAACAAGAACGAAAAGGTGTTCCAACAAAACGGGCTAAGAAGGCTTCGAACCTGTTACCCAGAGATTCCAACTTAACACTAAATGAGGGAACAAGCGTTAGATTCGAGAAGGATCCTGAATGCCGATTGGGATAAACTCTTTCATTAAGGCTCTCTTCCCTCCCCTCCCTCCCTCCCTCCCTCCCTGCGTTTCCCTTTCCCTTTCTCTGTCTCATTCTCTTTCTCATTCTCCCTCTCTCTCTCTCTCTCTCTTTCTCTGTCTCTCTTGCTGTTTGGCGCTGACAGTGACATCTGAGTCGTGCTGTGGTCATAGCAGCATCAGCAGTCAAACTGGATTCAGCCCAACCAGACTTCCTTACAATCAGCCCATGACTAACCAAGACCTGTCGAAGACAGAAGCGGGGGGCCAGGCACGCTAGGGTTGCCTACTTACTCGAGAATTCTAACAACACGGATCCCACGACTGAGGGTTGGTGGCAGGGTCATTTACTTTCTGCGACTCCGAGACTCCCGACATCTCCCGACTCGTGTCTGGTCATACAGCACTAGCGACTCGTGACAACGAGATCGCTGACTTTTCAGCAACACGGCATGTCACGGGTCGAGGGAAGTGAAGGTGAAACCTCTGGGTGCTATGGAAGCCTCGGACACCGACGAGGCGGGATATCCTGAGCCTCTGGAAGGGTGCATGCAGTGAATACCCATAGCACCTTTTAACGTATTCTCAGCCGTCGTCGTGACTATCCACGGCCGTTGGGGCCTCAACTACGGTAGGAGTTTTCCTCTCTTCCCCAAGATCTCGGCGCCATGACTCAGATTGCAATGTTACTGTTACGTGTCCGTGCTATGAGCGTGAGTACTCTTTTGCAGAACTACCCACACTGCTCCTTTGGATAGTCACTTTGTGCAGCAGACCCCTACTGAACAAAAGCTTGCTCGAGTTACGGAGATGTTGGAACTCACCTTGCTTTCATTCGCGCCTTGTCTTATCTGATTGGATGTCATGTTCGTGTTTAAGTGGGGCTTCGCATCGCAAAAACAATGGCCGCACGGTATGGGTTGTGAACTCTATACACGTATTGAATTCAAATCCCTGCCCCAAAGGCGCTACATGCACTAGGCCCTTGCCGTAACGCCCCAACTCCAGAACAGGGCTTGTGTTTCCTTCATGGAAGGTGCCTCGTACCTCTACTGCTGAAAGGGTTGCTGCTACTTTGCCTCTTGTTGCTACTGCGATTGTGTGCTGGTTGGAATTGAAGGCAGAACAGCATTGGACAGCGAATCTCCCAAGCTGTAAGCCCCAAAGCCTAAAGCCCCTGTGATTCATAAGTTTTCCGACCCTACACCCTCAACCGTAAAACCCCAACTTTGAGCTCGAAACGCCAAAGCATCCTAAACTTCGAAGTGTCTAAACTCTAGCCCCAAATCCGCTGCAACATCCGTAAAGGGCCCTTCTACTGCCTTGAAGACCACCTGAAGGTGCCTTTTTTCTCCTGGTAATACAAACAACAAAAGCTTAATCCATGAAGCCCCCCAGCATTATGGGACTGTCAAGCGCTGCGGCCCAGATCCCAATCAAGCATCGGAGCCACAATAATTAGAACAGGATTCTGGGTGTAGACGAGTGAAATTATAAACGGACTGTAAGTGCATGCGACTACTGAGTCTTGAACTTAGATGGGAAAATCGCTAGCGATTTAAAATCAAACGCGATTTCGATTTAAAATCAGGGAGCCCAAATCGTTAGCGATTTGGAACCATCCACCTGCTGTCGTTCATGTATGCGTTTTTGGAGGCTTGAAATGCATGTTGCAGGCTCTGGGGGGCCTATATGGAGCCCAGCCTGCGCGGGGGAGTCCCCCGCAACGGGTTGCCGGCCAGCCAGCCCAGCCCAGCCCAGTCCAGCCCAGCCCAGATGAAGGAGTTGTCTGAGCGCGGTGCGCTTTTGGGTCTCAATTTGGGCGGCATGGACTCCCCGCGTCCGGCTAGCCCAGCCTCATGGTGGCATGGCTCTGGTCTGAAATTTCACTTGGGGATTTCCAACGGCATCATGTGTTGGTTTCTCTTCTTCATAGAAGCAAAAACGCGAACTGGGGCACGTTGGGGGCGGTGGGCCGGGAACGTGGGGGAGTACAGTATTTTCCAGCGAAAGGATTTTGCACAGCGGCTCTCGCAAAGAATACAAGCGTGCTCGATGCCGGGGTTGAGATTTAGGCTTTGGAGGTTAATTGAGGTCGGCAACTTACACATCGATTTGGAACTTCTGTGCGCAGCTCGAAACCCAAATCGTGCGATTTGCGATTGGGGCACATGTCCACAAGCAATTGGAAAGCGATTTGGGGGTTGCGAGTCCAAATCGCTAGCGTTTAGCGATTTGCGATGTGGCCTTTTAAGGTCTTGAACTATAATGCATATATATATATATATATGTATATATATATATATGTTTGTACGTATGTATATGTCTATGTGTATGTATATGTACATATCTACCTGTGTATGTATATATATATATGTTTATTTATATTTATTTATTTATTTATTTATATATGTACATGTACTTTTCTGTTTGTTTATCTTTAGTTTATAGCCCTGATGAAACCCTGCAAAAATTCTCCAGCACCCTTATCACGACCCCGCCACTGAAGACTCTTGCTTTCAGGCCCCGGGCACTCAGTTCATCAAGGCGAAGTCTCCTGTGGTTCCCGGGCGGAAGCCCAGAGCTGCATCGAAGGCTTTGGGCTGCCCATCCCTGCAGAATCACAATGTAGTTATTGTATCGTATCATCGACCCCAAAACACCACGCTAGTTGTTAAGGGTGCTAAGCTCTGGTGTGTTGCCAAAGAACTGGATCTTCTGTAAAGGCACAAACCCCCTCAGAATTCAGTATATGACTGTGGAGTCATAGTATGGCATAGTATGATAGACCCCAGCGCCGCGTTTGTTGTTAAAGAACTGCGCCAAGATATAAAGGCCTCAGGGTCGCTGCCAGGGTTCTTAATAAAGGGTTATACAGTGGACTAGAGAGCTCGGGGCCTGAATAATTCAATTCTTCCAGCAAGGAGAGCATATCATTCATTTTCATGACTACATAAGCCCAGTACAGTGACTGATGTTACCTTCATCCAATCAACGCCGAGGTCTGAAACTCTCATCCCTTACTGTGGCCTTGGGTTTAGTGAAGGTACCGTCGTTAGTGCCGTTTTCCGGCGTCTTATTCACTTTCTTATACATTTTTGGATCGTCCTCAATAATGCGTGTGTTGTTGGCGGAGGTTTTTGTTGGTTTGCTTTGTCCTTTCTGCTGATGGTCGATCCTGAACTGAGAAGAGGACAGCCAGAGGCCCGACAAAATTCATTTCAGCAGGCCTCAGGCTGGTGGATCAAGGAAAACCCTTCAACATGAGTTTTAGTCTTGGTAGTCATCTTCGAGTGATCGGGGCGTCTGGAACCCTCCTGCAATACTGCTGCAGTGGCGCTGTACGACTACTGTAGTACTGTACCCGGCTTTGCCGACTGTGGTGTGTAGGATGACTGGAAAACTCTTCAAAACCATGGTCTTTTTGTTTAGCTAGTTATCTTGGAGTGATCGGGCTGTGTTTCTAGATTTGGGGGCCCCCAAATCCTCCTAGAGTACTGTACTACTGCAGTGTTGGTACTGTACTACTTGCTGCTGTCGCTCACCCGTCTGTCGCTGCCAAATAAAGACCGGGTTGAGGGTGCGGGGTTTAAAGTCTAGGGCCTAGGATAGTTTTTGCGGCTCTTCGGCTTGAAGGCCTGACGCTTTGGAGAGTTGGCCCCCTGCTTGATGTTATGACTGCATTTGCTACGGTCATTATTCATTGCGTTTGGATTCACTGGTGATTGTTCCTGTAGGCTCTTGATGGTTGGAGCCTGAAACAGGGTGCGTTGCAGGATTGCTTCACGCTGGGGGATTTTTCGGTGGTACGAGCAGCAGCAGCAACACCAGTAGCAGCAACAACATCCTGAAAAATCCTAGTTTCCAAAAGTCACCATGGTAAGCCTGGTAATGAATCGTCGTCAGGTTCTTCTTCGTCATCATCATCACAAGCACACCATCACTGTAGTGCAAGCAATAGTCTTATTGACTGACACCTGCAGCATGTACACTCGGACGCTGATGTTTGGAGGAGGACACGTGCTGTCATCACTGCCCCCAAAGTCAACGGGAGCCCTTACACACACACACACACAAACGCCGCACAGGTGATGAAGCAGCCCTTCCGCCGTCCAGAGTGGCCAGATCTAGGTCGGCCCTGCGTGCATTGACGGACTGTTTCAGTTTGGGCGTCTGCTGGTAATCCCCACCAACCCAAACCCTACACTGACACGCTAAATCCTGGCCCCAAACACACCCCAAACCTCAGTACCCTAAACCCCTAAGCCATATCCTAACAGTCCTAAAGTCCTAAACCGTAAACCGCAAACGCCAAACCTTAATCAATGCTTAGGGCTCCTGCTTTCAAGACCCCAAGCGCTGTACGTAATGCCTTCAGCTTGCAAATTGACGCGACTGAGGCTACCGCTGACCTGTATGAGCTTCTGTCTCCTAACCTCTGAAACTAACACTTTGGATACTGAAGGAGTTCAGTTATGAACAATAGGGTGTGCCTTGGTTTACGGGCTTTCTCGTTGGCTCAAGTCTCTCTGTTCACACGTTCAATAATTCCATAGATGCGCGGTGCGATTGAGGACACATGACCACACAACCTCTCATATCACCCTGCTGACCTTGAGCTTTACTCTGCGAAACGTTAGAGTCCGAGAGCACCAACCCTATACCCACACCCAAGCTACCACCACTGCAATCTAGCTGAAACGACCGTGCACATTTCAGGCAGAGCGTCTCGTTTCAGCGCTGACCTCCGAGTTTCAGCGCGAACCGACAGTGTCAGGCATCGTCTCGTGTGCTCCCGGAGTGGATGGCCATCCAGCATTCTGCCTCTGCTCCTCGGCCAATCTTGGCCAGAATGCCATGTTGTCGTTTGTTGTTTGTTTGGTTTGTTCTTCCTCCAAGTACATACACATTCTATCCGTTTCAAGCTGTTAACTGTAAACATTGCAGACAAGAAGCAGCTGCTGCATGTGTATAAAATATACATATACATATAAATAAATAAACAAATAAAAAAATAAATAAATAAATAAATAAATATACATATATATATATATATGTATACATATGTATATACATATACGTATACACACGCACTGTATGTGTGTAATATACACACAGAACTGAGATTGTACTTATATATGTGTATGTGTGTATATATATATATAATAAACATCTGTGTGTGTGTGTTTGTGTGTGCGTGCTGTCATGTCGGTCACATTTGTGCTTGTAACTGTGTTTGCTTGCCTGTCTGTCTCATGCTTTGTGTGGATGGACATTGGAACCTTTGCTTGAACCCGATGTGAGCGCAAAAAAGAACGCAAGCAAGGCCTTCTGCGGCAGTAAACCCTGCAACCACAAAGGAGGCCCAAAGATGCTGAACCCCATCTAGCCATGAAGTCTTCCAACCCCAAGACTCAACACAAGTCTCCAACACGGTTACCCCAACGCTAGAGTACTGACCTCAATACGCGAACGTAAAACACCCCAAAGACTCAATGACTCATATTCCAGACCCTCAGCCCTAAACCCTCAACGTTAAAGAAACAACCGAAAGTCCTCAGGCTGGGGAGCCTGTGATCCTTCCCGACATTCCTCTGTTGCACGCGTGGGCCATGGCGGGCACGGAGTTGGTGAGATTTAGATGTGCGGTTCAAGAATCAAGGGGCTCATTGAAGCGACGCCTATGCTACTGAGAACCCCAAGCAATGAAGTGGCTTACAATTGTAGGCGCTTGAAGCCTGTGAATTGACAGTTTGTAGGGCTTCCGGGATCCATGATAGTATACCTGGGATACAAGAACGAACCTTTATGAGCGCGATAGAAATCTCTTCGCGGTGAGATCCTGTACCCGACTAGGGCAAAGTGTCCAGAGCCTGGTGGAGTCTAGACTTTGGGGAGCTTGAGGATGTACGTAACTTCCAGAGTTTATAATTTCGGCTGCAGGCGGAGTGTAGGTTTTAAGGTTCAAGATATGCGCAAATAGGTTTTGGGATTGGGGTTTTGCCGAGGCTGGGGTTTTGCCGATGTTGGGATTTGCAGAGTATCAGTATTAACGGCCCCCCAGTGTTCTGAGGTTTGAGGATGTATGATCCCAGGGTTATATTGCATACAGTCATACGGTTTGCGACTCCACAGTGGGAAGAACTAGAGCCACGTAGCCCTGAACCGGACAGCTTCCTCGTTCAGGCAGGCGAGTGCAAAATTAGATGCCGCAGCATCGGATGATGTCCTAAACTTTTGATGGGTAGACAGATTTTGACGCAGGATGATCACCAGTGATGTGCTGTGTGCGTTCTAGTCCGGTTCTTATGGAGGTCGATCAATCAGCGGTCGATATTGCCTGAGCACGCCCCTGTAGACTCAGCACGTCCAAATTCTGCGGCCGAAGTGAGGTGTAAATCCCAAACACGTAGCCCCCAAACCCAAGACACTAGATCCTAAATCCTCAATTGTGAAAGGAGTGGCTCAAATGACCCTTGAAAGACCCTGTAAACTCCTTGTACGGCCATCATCTCCCATAAGATCCCTGAAACACCCGCCATATAGCCTTGATCTACTCGTAAGGTCGACTTGCAACATAAAGTCAGGCCTGGAGCTGCAATGCATACCACTTGACAAGGACGAGGTCGCGGTGGTCTGGGACCCAGAGATGCGATGTAGCAAGATCCCCGCACCATAGGGGGTTAGCGCTTCAGTAACTTAGGGTTTCGGATTCAAGGTTTGGGGTTGAGGGTTGTAAGAGGGGCTTGAAAGGGCGGCGAGGTTTAGGCCTCAGGGCTCGATGTTCCTGGTCTCAGGCTTTGAGGTATTGTTTGGAGTTCTGGAGCAAGAGCTTCAGGGTTCGAGGTTTTATTGGGTGTTTGTTTAGGTTTGAGTTCCGTCGACTTTAGTATGTTGTGTCCATGTCGGCTGTGCTTTGCACCCACAAAGTCTTGCAACTCCCGAGAAGGTCTTCAATGCAGAGGACAAGTGCGCACACCAACGATTTCTCGTATAGCAATGATAGCCCGAAGCCATAAGCCCTATGAATGATACATCGCCTAATCATCAGCACGGACTGCTTTAGCTTTTCAAGGTTGACATATCTCGAAGCCCCCAAGCTTTAGTCATTACGCCACCTACACAGGAAGGTATTTGAGGACCGTCATATTCGGGGCGTCATCGGAAAGCTGATGATGTTATCCCGCGTAAAGCACAATATAACATACCCCAACCTCAACTTAATCCGTAAAACCCCTGAACCACCTACGCAAGCCCTAAAGCCACAAGCCTGAGCTTTAAGCCCGAAGCCCATCAAGGCACCAATGTCCCCAACCCTTATCCATTGCCATACCCTAAACATCCGTAGACTCTAACCCTACCCATCGTACCACATATCCCCAGCCTGCTGTTAGCCTTGAACACTCTAAGCCCTGAACCAAAGCCTAAAGCCTTGCACCGGACACTCCAAGCCAAGGCAAAGTACGACCTCGGGCCCTGGGATGCTGTTGAGACCTGCAGTGGTTCTGGGAAGGCCGGACGTTGGGCTTTCGGACACGGCTCCCATGATCCCATGTAGGGCTTGTCCATGAGATGCAAACGGAATCGGATCTCCGCTCATGCTGGGCTCTGCTGAGCAGGAGTGTATTCCAGAGCATCCCGTCAGACAAACCAGTTAAGGAAGGGTCTGGGATGTTCTCGAATTGCTTAGTCCGGGGCAAAGGTCGGAGCGTTGGTGAGGCCCGCTTTTTCCAATGCCGATATCCGCGCGTAGGTGGAGTAGCTTTGTCTAGCCTTTGTTTTGGTCAAGAAGAGCATTTTCTTGCGCAGATGCTTCGATGCTACAGGCATGTCTAGCTTCAACTGCGGTGGACGCTGCGTTTGTCTACTAGGTCCAAAATCTATCCTTGAAAATCTGCACACGAAACGCGGTTCTAGTCCCTAACCGCTCAAACCCTGAACCCCTACGACCCAAGCCCCAAACCCCTATGAAACCGAGGCCTGTCACTAGCTCCTCAAACGAGAAAAACCCTAACCCAGAGGCCTACATCCAACCTTGCCGAATTGCTTGACCGACAGGAAGGAAGGCTCTGGCGTATGTCCTTCGTTTACGCTGGCGGCCCTTCAACGATTCTCGCAAAGACCGAGCGATGTGCCGGCTTCTCAGCATCGCTACTTTCCAGAAATGCTAAAACACTTCACTTAAAGTATCTCTGGGCTCCATGAATGCCGGTAGGGTTTAGGGTTAAGGGCACCATTTTGAGGCTAGGGTTGAAAGGATTGGTGCTTTCGGGAGTCAAGGATTTATCTCAAGACCGAAACCCTAAACACGAGGATTCCGAAGCCCTGAGGAAGATGCCAGGGAGTTGGAACATCAAGATCCTCATGATCCTCATGCCACAAGAGCAAACTGTAGAGAATCCCAGCACCAAGCCCCACGACTCTTGATCCGTTTAAGCCTGTCCGGAAAACTCACAAAGAGCCTCCCAAAGCTCAAGGGTCGCTCTGTTGACCGTGGATCGACGGACCGTAGATGCATTCGCTGGTCGTGCATGCTAAGAAAGCTTGATGCCAACCGGAGAAGCCGTGGTCTCCCACAGGTTCCCTGTTCGACGAAGCCGGGTTTCCGTTCCTAAACATGGGACCAATAAGGTGTGCATCAGCAGGGTTAAGTTTGGGAATTGCGTGTGGCTCTCACGTTTTCATTTGGGTTTAGGGACTTGGTGTCGGGCAAACCTACTATACAGTTTGGATCAGGAGCATGGTTTTGTCTTTGGACAGGTTCTCTAAGGCACCAGCCAGCTAGAGCCCGTAGGGTTGGCTCAGGGTGTGGGGATCTGTGTTGAAAAGGATTACTCCAGGGTTCAGGAGTTCGGGTGTAAGATGGTTTACGGAATTTGGGCAGCTCAAATCGGTATTGTTGCCATCACTCTTGTAACGGAAATGTAACGTCGCACACTCATGTTGTTGGGCTACTGGGAGTTATGAAGACCCTAAATCAGGCACTCCGGGATCTCAGACCTCGTTGCCTGCGACGTAGGTCCAGCGGTTTCCGGCACACGTGGGGAATGGGAAGCAGCCAGCACGCGCAGCTCGCTTGCACTGATCCAGCTTTTGTGCTTGGGCTGCGGGGCAGGTCCCGGTTTTCGGTTTGGACGATTTAGCTTTTTAAGGGTTGAGGATGTCGACGTTTGGGTTTAAGTTTGCTTTGTTTCAGCCTCAATGCCCCGATATGGATGCAAGTGGCTTTACGCGAGGGTGTTTTTGCTTTGCCACTTGGCGTGGAATGACGCGCAAAACCACCTGATATGCAATGCAGAAGGAGAGAGGTAGACAGAGATACTGAGAGCCGCACCACAGACTCAGCCCGAAAGATACCTTTGCTAATGCTATAGTGCTTGCTTGTCGCCTAACGAGCGATCAACAAGATGCTACGCAGACTGTCATGGCACCGACAAATCGACAAAGTAGCAGCAGACCGACAGACGGCCTCCGCTCAGCGGCTCACAGGAAGAGAGAGATGAACGAAATATACAAAAAAAGACGCACGGACCTGGGTTCCAGTGGCTGTGCAGGGAACGCCTCCGAACTGATGCTGTTTCAGAGACTGAAGCCTAATCATGGTGTGACCCCCATCTTTATGTCTGACAGCTTGCAAGGTGTTGCGGACATTAGGGCGTTAAATGTGTTGAACATGAAACGCTCGAAGCAGAGACCATGACGGCCCTGGCGTGCGGCTTCTGCCGCTTCGCTCATGCCTCTATCATTGCCACGGCAACAGCAACAGCACCACCACCAACAACAACAACAACAGCAGCAGCCATGCAAGTCATGTTCGCACTACTGCCAACATCCAACGGATTAGCATGGCCTAAGCATGCCTAAGCCCTAAACCACTTCCTAAGCCATATCCGAGGTCTACTTCACCGGCCCCCGGCAAGGTGATGCTTTGGCACTTAGGCGCGGGGTGGGTTTGGTAGCTCCACCAGAGTTGAGTGTCCTTGAAGCAGGGAGGGCGTATTGTCAGCATCAGACCATTGAGGGGCTACATCAGAGTCTCGTATTTTCACAAACTACCATTGTGCGAACTGGCTGCAACAGCACGCAGTTTGCCTCTGCTCCTGCTGGGCAATTCGAGCTTGGAGGAAGATTTAGCACCGACGCTCGAAATCTTATCATATTATTGAGCTCAGGCCTCTTACACCCGAGCCTAGGAGCATCGTCACTCTCCACACACACAATAATATCCCCAGGCCATGCCAACTGTTACACAGATCAACGGCAAGACGGAACAACATGCAACTGGTCGCTGGCCTCATCTGTCTAGGATTCCTGGTGAGCTCCACCTGGAAGCCATGGTACCAGTGACAAGCGAACGTGTCAGGGAACATGTGCCACAGCTCTTGCACCAGCGGCATGGCATACCTCTCGTCCAACCGGACCTCTGGGCTCGGAAAGCACAGAAACCAGGGGCGAGAGCTCCGCACTCCTGGGAGATCTACCCCCTCTCCGCGCTGCATCAGATGTGAAAGTTCGCGAAAGATTCAGAAGACACCGCTAAATAATGTTCAGCACTCAATAGCGAATCGAAACTGAACATCAACGATGTCTGCATGCACTTGCACACATGCAGGAGGGCATACCTGTACATATGTATGTATTTATGTATGTATGTATGTATGTATGTATGTATGTATGTATGTATGGTGTACTCAGACTCACACCACTCGGTATCCACATTTAAGCACGATCGACGCGACACTGCTCCATGCTAAAGATTCTCCTGGCCTCTGTGTCCCCCTCATGTACGCCCAGCGACCATTCGGGTTGCGGTTCAGGATTTCAAGGTATTGAGGGGTTAGGGGCTGAGGCTAAGGTCTATGGGGTTGCTAGCATCCTAAACCAAACCCCCCAGACCCCACCTTAAAGCCTACCTGGGCCTCCCCGTGGGCCCATTTATTTGGGTGTACTGATTCTCGCACCACGATTTAGACTAGTACCCTTTTTGTTATAACAAGAAGAATCACTTCACACTTTCAGGCCTGTACTATAAGAATGTAAGTCTCGATTTCGATTCGGGCCTTTGTGATGCTTTAGAATACATTTCGGGCTGATGGGTTCCAAATGTTTGGCATGATACTTTGAACCGATGACCCAAGTATAATCCTTAACCCTGATTCCGAAATCCTGTACTTGATCCAGGGCCCACCTGCCTTAATTTAATCCAGGGAGTGAAAGCTCAACACCCCGAAGAATCCCAAGGCCACATTTCCCCCCCAGCCATCAGCTGCTCGTTCGTCTGGGAGCCGCAAATCACGAAGCGCTGCAGACGCTGGGACGGTTCATTTAGGTTTAAGTGTGCGTAGATACATATATATATATACATGCATGTATACAGTATGGTGCACACAACAAAAGTAGTCATGTCTAAAGCCTGCAGCTGCTCATGATGGCGGCCGGCGCTGCCACTGCTACGTGCCTCTGCGATGCTCGGATTGAAACTCTAGCGATGGTTACTGGTATGCATGCCGCACGATTACAAACCCGAAAGGTTTCCTTCCAAGCATGAGCTCGAAGTAGTCGGTGCCGGGGCATGTAGACACAAGAATCTAACACAGCAAGCTTCGCTATTTAAAACATGCATTTATAAATATTGCCACGGACTACAAGCCCAGCTTCTCGAACTCCAAATGATAGCGGATTAGCATTCGCTGAAGAGTGCGTTGGCCGCACGTTCGGGCGGCAACACGCCTAGAAATTCTACTGCAGATCCCGACAAAGTCCTCCGATTGATCTGTCACAAAAGCTGCAGGGGAAAGTACTGCGGGTGCTCCAGTTTGAAGGACCGTTGTAATTCGAAGCCCCACATGCCGGTACATATGCAAAGCAGGCTCCAAATGGAACACAAATTTGCCACGCTCGCAAAACTCTCGCGCCAGGAAAGTGTAGGTATGACAAAACAGCTGGACCGAATCAGCAGCTGATTGCCCCAGGCTTCTGTTCAGCCACAGCCCATTATTGTGGATAATCTGGAAGAAACGTAGAAGGCTGCAACATGCATCTTCCATTGCTTTGAAGATATGCCCCAGCTCTGGGTCACTCAAAAACGTGACCCCTGAACGCCCAGTCGCGTCCGGCTTGACAGGCCCGTGTCGCACCACTCGCAGCAGCCACCGTGCCAACATCAGAGAGTCGGCGGCTTTCCAGCCTTGATTCAACAAGAAAGCACAGTCAGCAACAATGCTATTCCGAAATTACATGCGTATAAGCAAAAAAAGAATCTCAGTCACGATGACAATCATAAACATTGCAAGGTTCCTCCGTAAGGGAAGCTTGTCCGGCGAGGCCAATGGAAACCTTCTTTCGAGAACAATTTCAGATTCGGTGTCTGCCGGATTTCGTGTTTGCAGCACCATACAAAGTCGTTGTGGGAGAACTCCAAAAGATTAGCAACGCTGAGAGCACTGCCAGGAAAAATGTCCCAGTCGCCCAATACCACCACACATGAGGCAATGAAATGCCGGGCAACCCCCAGCTTCACCAAATGCATGCAGTCCGACCTGAATACCTTTTCCGGCGCCTGCAAGCTAAACGGTATGGGAAGTACGCATGAGGGCTTTCGATTCGTCCAGGGCCGTTCTTGGCAGATTGTTCCGCACCAGCTCGCTGCGTTTGACATATCTTCCCACTGGTGGCCACGTGTGCCGGCCAAACACAGGTGGCAAACTCCTTTGTCTCCAATGATTCGCAAAAAGCTCCGGGTGAAGTTGCCGATTTTGTTGAGGGCAGGTGCATCTCCCTTAACACCTATCAAAATGGGGAACCAGGTCTCCCCATTCTGATCTCTGATTCCTGTAGTGAACAGGCTTGCCAAATCTTTCACAGGAGCACCAAATGTATCGTACCAGAAGTGTTTTTGCTTCTTCTTGTAGGCTCCATGAGGCAGAACATACAGCAAAAGCCGCGAAGTTAGTGACGACCCCCGTCCAGTGTGGTCTGATGCTTCCAGGAAAGTTTGGCTGTTCCAGCCACGAGTTTTCGCAAGTTCTTCGCAAGCAGAAAACGTCTTGATACCCCACAATGTCTCGAGGGCCACGACCTGTATGGGGGCCTTCCGTAATCCACGTCCTTCGTCGGCATAGATGCAAATGGGGAAGCATCTGTTGAGTCGGTTAGCATGAACTTGGAATACTTGATGATCGTCATCCTCGTACTTGTAGCATTCCCAGAAGCTTCGTAGGAAGCCATCCAAAGCGAAATGGTTTCGGTCAAAGCCACCAAACAAAATCGAAGGCTTTCTGCAAAGGTAGAACTCTAGGATTTTGGAAGGCAGGCACATGGGGGCAAAAAGAATACCCTTGTTAAAAAGATATAGATCGATGGGAAGGGCCAGACCCCACTCCCTGATGCTTCGGTGCAGTCCAGACTCAGCATGTGGCAGGGAGACAATGGAAAGTCGCCGGATCCCTTGCAAGAGCAGCGGCTGTTCTTCTTCCATAGCTTTGGCAAACCGCACCACACTGGCTGCAGGATCCTTATCTTGTGGAATGTTTCGGATAGTGGGGCCTTCGCAAAACCTGCACAAAACTTTTGGACAAGCTGCTCCCATCGCCAAAGCAGTCACGAGCTTGCGAGCCGTTGGCCCCGGTGTCGGTCCTGCGCAGGGGCATGCAAATGCCTACGTAAATGTGCGTCGTTCATCCTTGCCAGAGGCCATGCTAATCGAAACACATGTGCCCCAGCACGCATGCACACACATCCTTTTCTATCGCCCCGGCATCTGACAGGTTCACACTGCACAGCATGAAAGACCGCCCACGGTCCCTCCTAAGCTGGCTTTCCCGTCTCACGCTCGCGGACGACTGCTCTACTCTGCTGCCTGCTTTCCGGTCTTACGCTTCGGAGCAGACTTCGGATCGGCCTTTGCTTTTGCATCTGCCTTCGGCACGGCCGACTGCTTCGGCTTAGCATCCGGTTGCACTTTGCGCTTCGGTGCTGCTGCTTTTGCCCGCTGCTCAAGACTCACACTCTCCAGGGCCCTCGGATGTATGAGTACGTAGAGTGAAGTAGAGCCAGCTAGGACGGCATAGAGCACAGCAGTATTCTTCGAAACAACAAATAGCAAAGTAGCGAGGTAGAGTCAGCTAGGACGGTATGCAGCAAAGCAGTAAATTCTTCGAAGCAACACATAGCAAGTCTAAGGGCTTTAGGAGAGACCCTTAATAGGGACCCTTGTAGGTTATTGGGGTTAATATGGAGACTACCTGGCTATATAAGGGGTATATATAAGGACTATACAATAGTTATTTAAGGTAATATGGGATTAAGGGTCCCGATTAGGGGTCCCTCCTATAAAGTCCTTAGAGCAAAGTACCTGGTTGAGCCACGTTGCGCACGCTTGGCCTTCTTGTACTGCTGCTTCAGGGTCTGCTGCCTCAGAACACGTGTGTCTCTGTTTGCGTACATGTGTCTGCATGCTAGTGTGTGTGTGCCCACACGTGCATATATACATGCTTGTCACATATAGAATCATACATAATCTAAGAGCCCCAAAAGCCTCAGCACCAGAAGCCGGAGTGACATGCTGCAAATATGAGTTTAACTTGCTCTCGGTGCAGCAATCTAAATTTGCCTAGCAACATTTCCGCCGTGAATCCTTCCACCCGACCCTCGCAGTAGGTCTCATCGATCATTTCGTGGCAATCATCAAACGTTTTGATGCAAGCCGTCATCTTCTGAATCATCCTCGGCTCCAAAACAAGATGGGCCAGCGGATAACATCGTGCTGATGGAGCATATCAGGTCGGGCTTCCAGGGTTGATTGAGGTGAGGTGCTCATGCTCAGTATGTATTTATGACAGGTTTATGCTTCGTACTGTTGATGGACAAAATCCTGCATTACCCATTATAAGGAATATACCATAATTTCCATAGTTTAAGGTCCTTAAGGTCATGTAGGA